AGTGATGTAAGGCATTTTTATATGATTATAGATGGCTCTGGTTCCTTTTTTTGAAAACTGACTCTTCATATCCTTTGACCATTTGTCAATTGGGGAATGGCTTTTTTTTAAAATTTTGATTCAGTTCCCTATGTATTTGAGAAATGAGGCCTTTATCAAAGAAACTTGCTGTAAAAATGTCTTCTTATTCTTTATTGACTCTGGTACCGCTTATCAAAATGTAGTTTCAGGCTTTTTCATGTTGCTATTTTCAGAGCTAGTTCTGTGCGTCTGCAAGTTTTGAGTGCTTCCCAGGTGGTATGATCCAGGGAGACATGTGCTCATAGCTTTCTTGGTCTGCACTCTAATATTTACTCAGGAAAGGCCCCCTGCTTCCCTGCAGCCACAAATGCTAGTGCTCCTCTTTGTCTTGGAATCGAGACCACAGTCACTGCTCTCCAACCTGAAACTATGAGCCAGAACTGCTTGTAGACAATAGAATTGCCAATCCAGAACCAGCAAAGGGTCCCCTATGGTCTCTTTCCAACCAGTTGTTTGAACCTCTTACTGTCTCTGAGCTGAGAGCGCCTGAAACTGTTATCACTGCTGGAATCATGGTAGCCTCCAAAGCCCACAGCTTGTGCTGCTGCCGCCATGCTGTAGGTGGGCGCCCTCCCCAGTTTCACAGACCTCTCCTGCCACACTCTTCCATTTCGACATGCTCGTCATATTTGGGTACTTTCTGATTTTTAAAAAATTTAGTTCTCATCCACCATCTATAGCTCTTCCTTTGATTCTTCCCACCTCAGGTGGCTTGCATTTTTAAAAATTCAATTCAATTTCTTTTTTGCTTACATTTTAAATTCCAAACTGTCTGGCTACCTCCTTCCCAGCCCTGCACTGGAGAAGGCCACCATTTGACTTATGTGTGTATACGTGTATGTATATTAGATATACGTACACATAAATGTGTATATCTATAAACACATACACATACATATGTAAAACCATACTGTGCATACTTCTATTTATTAGTTCTTTCTCTGGAGATGCACAGCATGTTCCTTCATGAATCCTTTGTAGTTAATCTGAGTACTTATAATACTTAGAAGTGGAGAGCATCTTCCTTCATGAGTCCTTTGTAGTTAATTTGAATATTCCTAATACTCAGAATACCTTAAGTCATTCACAGTTGTTCTTCAAACAATAGTGCTCTTACTATATGTGGCTTGCATTTTCAAATACTCAGAGGGAGAGCTCCCAGAGCCCAGCCTCCTCATTTTAGCGATGAAGGGCCTGTGTCAGAAAGGTTAAGTGACTTGCTCAGAATAATTATGCTGCTAATAAGTAAGTGCCTGATGTGGGATGCAAACACAGGCCTTCACGAGTCCAGGTTTAGTGCTCAGGCTGTGACTCATGTCTGCCTAAAGAGGATACATGCCTCAGCAAATCTACCAGCAAGCATTTATTGAAAGCCTACTATGTGCCAGGATTGGAGGAAACAGAGACAAAAGTGAGATAGTCCCTACCCTCAAGGAGGTTTTGTTCTATTGAGGGAGACGATATGTACACATGCATACATGCACACATACATACAAAATAGATACAAGGTAATTTTGGGAGGGAAAGTATTATGAGGAAATGCTTTGTGTTGAGTGTGGAGCTTCACGAGTCTTGAAGGAAGCCAGGGATTCCAAGAATTGGTGATGAGGAGGGAGAGCGTTCTAGCCATGGGGACAGCTCAGGCAAAGGCATAGAGATGGGCGATTGAGAGTCATGAGTGATGAATGGCAAGAATGTTAGTTTCTCTAGAGTGTAAAGTTTAAAGGGGGGGGTTAAATTGAGTTTTATTAAACTGGAAGGAGAGGTAGCTGGGTGGTGCTGTGGATACAGCACCAGCCCTGGAGTCACAAGGGCCTGAGTTTAAATCTGGACGTGGACACTTCCTAGCTGTGTGAGCCTGAGTAAGTCACTTAACCCCAATTGCCTCAAAAACAAACAAAAAAACCCCAAAATCAAAAAAATAATAAAGCTAGAAAGGTAGTTTTGAGTCCAGGTGGTAAAGGTTAAATGCCACAAAGAGGCATTTGTAATTATTGGGAAATTATCCTGCAAGATCCCATTATCATCCTGTGAGAGACCATCAGCCTTGGTAGTCCATCTCATCACTGCTCTGTGGCCCTCTGATTGGAGAGTGGAGCCATGAACCTCAAAGCCTCCACTGAAGGAGGGAGCTGAGTTCAGACAGATTATATGAATTGCTACCTACATTCAGATCTGCTATACTATTTGCTTTGAAATTGCCAGTTTGTTCCAATGCAATTGATATTATCAGGAAACATTTTGAGAATAAGGTGAATTTCTGTTTGGTTATGCTTGATTTCTTCACTGAGAATCAGTGAAAATTTGGAAATTTATACCATTGAATAATTATTCATAATCTCTAACCTTTCTGTTGACCACATTCATGAGCAAACTTCAGGTCTTTTTTCAAATAAAGTGCCATATTTCTTGCATATCTTATGGTGCAGTAGAAGCTGTGACCTGTAGAAATTTGGTCTGAATCCCCGCACTCACATTTCAACATGGTCTCCAATTCTAGATTGCCCAACTTGCTAAAGACTTTGCCACCCCTGGGACACAGACCAAGTAGCAGCCCGGGGCCATGGTTACTGACACTATTTATGTATTTATGTATTTCTTAATTATTTAACATGTAAAATTTTGCTACCATTTTTAGTAAGTTGCATGTTTTTATCCATTTTTTATGTGTTACTGAGAAAGTTTTTGAGTATTTTGCCCCTAACCCCACCTTCCCCATAAGCCTTGTGGTTTTTATTGCCTGATTATGCATAGGTCAACGCTTTGGGGAAATGTGTATGTCCCAATATAGGAGAATTGACTATATAACAGAAGTGAGTTGCTGTGAGGAAACTATTTTGCAAAGCATAAGAAATGGTGCTGTTGAAATATATTATTATTAAAGCACAATGGTAAGAATATAAGAATTGCTCTCTTGGGTTAGAAGAAGGTCCTCTTACCCTGGTTCTATCTCTCACAAGGTCACTTGGAGATGCTGAACATGGAATTTGCCCAACCTCACAGGATTCGGCTTTTACCTTATAGCCCCCAACTCTCCTAGATCAGCTGCTTTTGCACATCCCTGAATCTTAGGGTGGTGCCTCACAGGGACAGGAATGTCAGCTCTAGCCTTCACTCCCCCAAACTCGTCCCCACCACTATCAAACAAAGCCTTGTGCTGTTTGGGAGGTGACATGGTGGTGCCTCCTGAAAGTCCCTCCCATTGTGCCTCTGTTCTGGCCTCTTCTGAGGGTAGTTCCTCTGAAACAATAGGGCGTTTGTGTATGTGAGTGTTGGTATATCTGTATGTCTGTCTGTAATATTCCGTTTATCTCATGCCAGGGGGTGATGGAAGAGCAGTGATTTCAGACCCGAATAGACTCTAACTCTTATTCTTATATCTTGAGGATGCCATGGTGGCTTTCGGGTAGGGGACAGAAATGGTCTTTTCCCTCCAGTTTCTCCCAGCAGAATAAATGAATTACCTAAGGCCACACAGCCAGTAGGGGAGAGCTATGACTATAACTGAGTTTCCCTGATTATAAATCCAGTACTTTCTTCTCTGCTATCTGATTGAACCCCAAATCTTAACCCCAAACCAGACAACCGTACTCACAGCTTCCAGATTTCTTAGACATTGTTGTCCCTAAAGCAATAGCATGGAGAAGACAGTGACCAGCGACCCCAGTCATACCAAATTCAGAGATTTATTTTGACCAGGAGTCATATTTCACAGAAATGACATGGAGGCTGTGATGCCTTGCTCTTCTCCACTGTTATATGCTATTGAACCCACTCCCAAAGATGAGAGTTCAGCAGCCAGTGAGAGTTTCAGGGTGGGAGTCTACCCACTACATATTAGAAACAAAATATATAGAACCTGGAATTCCCAAAGAAAAAAAACCCCAACAGAATATATATCCTAAGAAGCATTCATATGAAAAAGACCTGAGGGTTGTAGTGGATAATAAGGTGAATCAGTATAGCCACCCACAATAACCAAACCAAAGTAAAACAAATCTAGCTTAACATCATGCTGCATGCCCATAAGTATGAGGTGTCGATGGAGGGCCTTGCAGTATGGTAGTTTTTCTGGTTTCTGCCTGATTCACACCACACATGGATATTGTGGCTAGTTCTAAATGCCACATTTTAGGACAAGCATTAGTAAGCTGCAATGATTCTAGAGGAGAAGTGAATAGAGCAGGAATGTCAGTTGAAGGAACGAGGGATATTTACTCCAGAGGAGAAAAACTCAAGCAAGACATACTGTTTTCAAATAATTAAAAAAGGGGTGTCATGTGGAAGAGGGAATAGACCCCTTCCCTGTGACTTCAGAGGGCAGAACTATGGCTAGAGGTTAGAATTCAGATACAGGTTATAAGGAGGCAGACTTCAAATGGAACTTCCTGCCCTCCCCCAAAGAGAGCTAATGGGGTAGAGGGGAGGGCCTCAGCAGACAAGGAGTTCTTTCTCTATTAAAGGCCTTCAAATGAGGTTGTAGAGAGAATTCCTGTTTGAGATGGAAGTTAGGCTAAAAGATCTCTGAGGTGTGTCCTCCATTTCTGCAAATTTTGACTTGGGGAGAAGAGGAAAGACTTCCAAATAGACTTGTTACAGTGCTGTAGGGAAGGTAGGATCAGGGGGGCCCCAGTGTTGACTAGGGATGGCTAGGCCTAGAGCTAGGCATTTCTGGTTTTGTGACCCTGGGCAAGTCACTTAACACTCAATACAAAGGCTAGAATATCAGAAGTGGCAGAACCAGTTGCATTGTTACAACAACTTCATTTGCTGGATTACTTTATACCAATGAATGTAGAAGTCTGCGTGCACACATGCACACACACACACACACACACACACACACTAACACACACACTAATACACACAAACACAGACAAATGCTATATGACTTTTATTTTTTTTTGTGAGACATTTAGTTAGTTGTTCAGCTTAATGCTGTTTATTTCACATTGAAAGCTCTTACAGGGAAGAACCTGGGTCTATGTAATTCTCTTTGCTGGAAATCCAATGACAGGTCACTGTTAAGTAGAGGGGTAATGGTGATGGCAATGAAGATCTTCACAGCTTCTCATTCTCTTCTTGGTTGGGCTTAAGATGGAGCTCCATTCCTGAGTCCCCCTCAATCTTGGCCATCTGTTGAAACATGCTATTTACCAAGTGATTCATTTATTTCTATTCTTCTTCTATTCTTTCTCTCCCTGTCCCCTTTCTGACAAGTTGACAATGACTCTTCACAGCTGTACTAGCCAGTCATAGGTTCTTAACTTCAGCTACAACACCCCACCCACCACCAACTTCCTCCACACTCCTTCTTTCCCAATGTGCTTCCATCTCATTTATCATTTCTCTTTTCCTATTTCATCCCATCAGATTTCTGTGGTCGCCTGTGAGATTGATTGTTTTCAGCAAGTTGTGGTTCACTCATTTTAATTGTGTTCAACTCTTTGTGATCCCACTTGGGGTGTTCATGGCAAACAAATCCAGCTCATTTTTCACAGATGAGATAACTGAGGTAAACAGGGTTAAGTGACTTGCCCAGGATCACAGAGTTGCTAAGTGTCTGAGGACACATTTGAACTCAGGAAGTCCTGACTCCAGGCCCAGCACTCTATCCCTGTGCCACCTGGCAGCCCTAAGTAAGTGTGTGGGACTTGATTCAGTCTCAAGTCTTCCTCTCTCCAGGCCCAGAACTCTCTTCAGTTGACTACTTCTAGGCAAAGAGATAGGAATAACTGTGTTTTGGGGAGTTGGTCACTGAAGAAACTTGGCTGCCCAGAGGAGAGTATGTGGATTCCCACCAGAAGCTGAATAAGAAGTGCTCAGGAGTGTGGTTGAGCAGTTCCTGTTGACAATCTGAGATTTGATGAATGGACAGAGATAGGGAGGGTTGAGTCTTATTATGGACGTCTTGTTTTCTGTTTCCTACATCATCCTGCCTCAGTCCCTCCATCTTTCCCTATATCTTTCACAATGCCCAGTAGAGAGGGACCTCACTTCAGTGGCTGGGGCTTTAATTTTAATTCCAATGGAACTAAAGATGTTTCTGAATTCATATTTTCAAGTACCATTGTCCCCTGGTTAGTGGAAATGAAAGGCAGAGGAAATATTCTGGAGGCATTTCAGGCTTTAAAATGTCTTCAGACACTCTAATGGTAGTGTTTCCAAGTTTCCCTAGTCCCTAAATTGACCCAGGTGACTATGACAACAAGAGATAGACAGATTACCTAGTTTATCCTAATTAGCCTTCTTATAATCCCGGTATTTCTTGAGATTCTCAATACATGTCTTTTCCAGATATTCCTTGGCCTGAATCACAGAACCTTCTGCCTCCCATTTCTTTTTGATTATGTCACCTGCCGGATCCTTTGTGATAAAGGCTGGTATTTCTTTGTCAAACTCAACGAGTGGTCGGTCATCATAGTCATAACGCCAGAATCCATTTGTGACACCATTCTTGCAAACTTCACAGCCATAATCTCCACTAAAGACATGGAGACCTGAAAACACCCAAGCCCCAAGTATGGTGAGCTGCCTACAGTGTAGAAAAATATGTTTCCAAATACTGATAATCCTGAGATATATCCAGACATCCTAATAAATGAAAAAGGTGTTTCCTTAAAACAAACACCCAGTTCTTTTCCTTTAGGCAGCTAAGGCATGAACAACCAGATAGGAAGCAAGTTTACAAAGAGAGCAGTTCTTTTTAGGCTAATTCCTTGCATCCATGCTCCTAGGAGTAGAGAAAAAAGAACAGGTGAGCAAAATAATTGTTGGAATTAGATCTGGAAATGACCTATCCCATCCTGCTCATATGCAAATGGGGAAACTGAGGCCCAGAGGAGGGCAGTGATTTTCCTGAGCTTTTTAGGACAGCAAATAATGGAGCCAACATTCTACACTAGGTTCTCAGACTCAAATCCAGAACTTTTTCTGTTACAACAAGTTGTTACAACCTGTGACTAACCATCATGAGAGCTAACCTGGCCTGGTATGTGGTTGCCTGCTGTAGACAACGGGGAATAACAGTCATTGTGGTTAAGTGGAATGAGCATTGGACTGGGTGATTGGACATCATGAGGCCAGGCCTGGCTTTGCCACTGACTGATCTGCAGGAGATCAGTGGATCAATGATTGAGAGATAGATGGACTGCCAGAAGCCATCTAGGCTCCTGACTAATTGTTCTTCTGAATGTACCAGGATCATGATCACTTCCCTCTCTGTAAAAAGGGTGCATTAGATGATTTCTCAGGTACTTTTTAGTTTTAACATTCAGTCCTAGAATCAGGAGCATGTCAGGCAACAGTGTGGTGCCTCCTATAAGAGGCCCAAAGCCCAGTGGGGTAAGGAGAGAGAACTTAGCTAAGCTGATGCCTCAGAAGCAGGAATTGATCTGTCCCCACTTCATGTTTCACTGAGATCATTGTGTTGGGTAGAATAGCAGGAAAGGAGAAGCAGAAGGAAGAGAGGTAGAGGACAGAGTTATGTTTTGGGGATGGTTCTATCTCTGCCTCCCTCTGGATGCGTTCTCTCCACCTTAAGGCCTATGACCAGTCATTGCTCCTCCTTTCTCCCCCTTTTCTCCTTTCTCTGTCCTCCCTTTTTATATCCCCTTCTTCCCTCTGCCAATTAGGGACAGCCCCTGTTAGGCAGAAGGCTGCAGGGGCTCCCTGAACCCTTTCCTAGGCATTGGCCCCTTGGTCCCTGCCCTATATACTTATACACTCACCAGTGACATCTTTATGGTAGGCCATGATATCTCTCAGGTACTCCATTGCAAAACCTTGTCTTCTTTTCTGAAACTGACCCTCTTGCTTCCAGTCATCAGCATTTTCCCATCCTGGTTCAGCACTGCCTCCTGGCTATTGCTATCATATTGGTAGATGAGTTTTTCATTGAAGTAGGCTTTGTTTGTGAAAAAGGGTGTGCCTTTTGATTGTGCTTTGTCCTTGTATACCAGAGAATCACACTCTGAGAAAAGACAGAGAGAACTGAGTGAGACATTTTAATGCTAATCTCCCAAATAGAGTCTACTTATTGGGGGTGACAGAGAAGGAGGTTAGAAATGAGGTGAACATGTGAACTTTGTTACCATGCCCAATAACTACCCATTGTGAATACTTTCTCCTGGTTCTCCCCTCTTCTATCTGTCTCTCAGCCAGCAGCTTTGACACCCCAAGTGATCCCAGTCCCAGGGTATTCTTCCCATGTTACATTTGGAGTATGCCATGAATCTCTGTCTAAATACTAATAATGAATGAATGAACTAGTGACTGAAAATGCTTTTAGTAAATGCTTAATATTTACCAAGTGCTATTCTAAGTTCTGAGGATAGAAACAGGGAAAGAAGTTAGTCTCAGATCTCAGGGATCTCCTACCCCAAGTGGGAACAATACACAATAAATGGGATTGTTCAAAGGAGGATGTGCAAGATGACAGGAAAACTCAAACCTTTGTCATATGCAGCCCAGGGATGTTTAACCTGGAGAAAAAGAACAAATGGATGTGTGCTTTGGTTTGAGGACACATGATAACTTTCTCAAGAAGGTGAAGGGCCATCAGATAGAAGAAGGACCATATTTGTTCCTTGTCACTCTGGAGAACTTAGTTTTTGGAGGAGGGTCAGTGTGAAGACAGCTTTAAACTCTATGTAAAGAAGAACCTGCTACATCTTTGATTTGTTTTAAAACGACTGTGCTGCCCTCCAAAGTAATGAACTCCTAAAGTATTCAAGCAGAGATTGGAGGACCATTTTATGGCATGTGGTAGAAGGTATTTCTGTGTTGCCTGGCAGGTTTCACTAGATTCTCTCTGAAGCCCCTCTTTCTTCTCTTGAAGAATCTGTGACTCGATGAACTTCATATCACTAGGACTCCTGGCCTGGTACACCTAGTATGGTACACTATTTTATACCTGGTACACCTAGACATATCTGGTATGGTCCCTGGTCCTGGGCAAATCATTTTAATGCTCCAAACCACACCTTTCTCCTCTATGAAGCAAGGTTTGATTTGCACTCCTCCTTTAGGCTGCTGTAAGCAAGCTTCTTGCCAACTCTAAAAAATTATGCAGTATAAAGTATTATTAATATACAAAGATAAGAACATAGAAATACCTTTTCTGGATGTGAGTGTCTTCTTACTCTGATTATGTCTCTGACAGGGCTACCAAGGGACAAGGAGCATGGGCTTTTCCCTCCCCTCCATGATTTCCACCTCAGATGGTTCAACATTTACTTCCTAAGTTTCAAGTTCTCTACATCACCTGCTTTTACACATTCCTGAGCTTCATGGCAGTGCTTGATAGAGATGGGAATAGGAGCTCTAGACCTCCCTCCCCCAAACTCCTGCCCTCCTCCATCATGTCTTTGTAGTTTCTGAGAGTTGACACATTGAAAGCTGGAACTTCTAGATGACTCCTGGCATAAAATTGTAGGGTCTGCATTCCTTTCCTCTTTCCCAACTCTACTCCTTCCCCACTAATATAACTTATGGCCACAACCACATCACACAGACAATGCTTTCTTCATAGCCTCTGAGGAGATGCCGTGTCCTCTGAAGGTGCCCAGCACCTGCCATGTCACTCATGTTCTGCCTCAAAAACAAGTTTTCCTGGTCTGTAGCATCAATACTTTTCTATATTTGCATTCTCATCTCCATTTCCTTCCTTAAGTTTAAAAGGTTGATAGAGAATCTGGAGACAGGAAGGCAATTCCTCAGGAAAAATCAAGCTATTGACTCTGTGTGTATTTGTGTGTGTGTGTGTGTGTGTGTGTGTGTGTGTGTGTGTGTGTGTGTGTGTAGTATTTGCCCTTTCCTACTGGGTGATGGAGGAGCAGTGACCTCTGAGCCTAATAAATGCTGATCTATATTCTAGTATTTTGGGAATACTATGGTAACTTTTGGCAATCCTGCCACTTCTTTTCTCCTTTCAATCCCATCTCTCCTTGCTCTATAGATTTCCCTTCTCTTTGTCTTCTTCCCAAATTGTTTCTCCTAGCACAATGAGTTTATCCACACAAAACCAGCTCAGGAACTGGCAACAAGGCACCTGTTGAGGGGAGAGTCCCATTCTGCCTCTGAGATCCCTCTCCTTATAGGTTCACATATTTAGAGCTAGAAAGTATCTTAGAGAACATCTACCCATCCCCTGTTTTCCAAACTGGCCCTTAGAGGTTAAATCACTTCCCAAGGCTACACAGCTAATAAGTGAAAACAAAATTCTTTAACTCTAAATCCAATCGTTTCCTCTCTACTCTCTGATTTCACCCCACTCCCAAACCAGACATCTCTTTCCCATTTGCTCTACTCACGTTTTCCTGGTTTCGGGGCACTATGAGGTTTCTGTCCAAGAACTGTGGTCCCTGAAAACAACAGCAGGAAGAAGACAGTGATTAGGGGCCCCATCATTCCAAAATCAGAGATGTATTTCAGTTCAAAAATCTGGTCTGATTGAGCTGAGATGTGATGGATGTTGGGATAGCTCTCTTTTCTGCTGTGTTATATACTGTTGAACCCTCCTCAGGAGATGACAGTCCAATGGCCAATGAGAGTTTCAAGGTGGAATCCACCCCCTGAAGACCAGAAATGAAACAAACGAAACCTGAAATTCCAGAAATAGCACCAAGAAGTGTCCCAAGAGTAGTCCTTATGAAAAAGACCTAGGGGTTTTAGTGGAAAGGAAGCTCAGGGTGAGCCAATGAAGCTGATTGCAATAACCAACCTAATGTAACATTGTGCTTCATGAACATCAATATGGGGTCTAGAGGAAGGAGCTTTGGGTGTGATCATTCTTGTGCGTTCTTCCCTATTCTAGCCACATGTGGAATACTTTGCCAAGTTCTAAAGACACATTTTAGGAGGGCAGTGGCAAGCTGGAATGCTTCTAGAGGAGGGGCATCAGGAAGGTGAGAAGATTAGAAACCAGAAAGATGAATTGAAGGAACAAGAGTTATTTTCTCAGAAGATTAGAGTCAGGTAGGATACATTGACTGTCTTCAAATACCTAAAGTATTTTCACACAGAACAGAGAATAGGCGTGTTCTCTGTGGCTTCAGAGGGCAGAAGTAAGCCCGGAGGACTCAGACATGATGGGGAGCACATGTCAGATGGAACTTCCTACCCAAGAGGGCTCTGCAGAAATTGAATAAACTGCTTCAGTAACAATGGGTTCTCCATTAAAAGCTTTCCAAGAAGAGGCTGTAAAGTGAATTCAAGATCTAGGATACACTAGAAGATCTCTGAGGTTTCCATCTCTGAAAATCTGTGACTGTGGGGGCAGAGCATCCAAACACACTTGCTATGGTTTTTTGGGGAAGGTGCATTGGGGTGGCCACAGCCAGGGCCAGGTACTGGTTGGAAATAGCTAGTCTGTCTTTTTTTTTTTTTGACTAGGCAATGGGGGCAAGTGATTCGCTCAGGGTCATACAACTAGTGTCAAGTGTCTGAGGCAGGATTTGAACTCAGGTTCTCCTTCCTCAAGGCTACAGATCTATCCCGCTACACCACCTAGCTGCCCCCTAGTATTATACTTATGTACTTCTTAATAATTTAACATGTGTAAAATTATGCTACCATTTTTAGTAAGTAGCAGGTTTTTATCTATTTTTTTCCGCATCACTGAGAAAGTTTTTGAGTACTTTGCTCCTAACTCCACTTTCCCCATAATTCCTGTGGTTTTTATTGCCTGATTTTGCATAACTCAATGCTTTGGGGGAAATGTGTATGTCCCAATATAGGAGAATTGGTTGTATAACAGAACTGAGTTGCTGTGAAGAAACTGTTTTGCAAAGAATAAGCAATTGTGCTGTTGAAATATGTTATTATTAATGCACAATTGTAAGAATATAAGAATTGCTCTCTTGGGTTAGAACATGGTCCTCTTACCCTGATTCTGTCTCTCACAGGGTCACATGGAGATGCTGAACATGGGATTTGCCCTCCCTGATGTCAACCTCACAGGATTCGGCTTTTACCTTATAGCCCCCAACTTGCCTAGATCAGCTGCTTTTGCACTGCCCTGAACTTTAGAGTGGTACCTCACAGGGATGGGAATGTCACCTCTAGACATCATTCCCCCAAACTCCTCCCTGCCACTATCAAATAATCGTTATGCTGTTTGAGAGGTGACATGGTCGCCACTGATTACTAGCAATGCTAAGTGATTCATGTAGTTAAAGATTATGGCCCTTATTTTGTCCCTCTATCGAAACACTACTTCTGGTCCTCTAGTATAGCTTATGACCACAGCCATACTGCCCAGACTGTGCCTTCTGCATAGCTCAGGTGGAGGTTCAGTGTCTTCAAGATGGCCTTGCCCTCATCACATCTGTCCATTCTGCTTCTCTTCTGTCCTCTTCTGAGGGTACTTCCTCTGAAACAATAGGGTGTTTGTGTATGAGTGTGTGTGTGTGTGTGTGTGTGTCTGTCTGTCTGTCTGTCTGTCCATCTTACTGTAATGTGCCATTTACCTTATGCTGCGGGTGATGGAAGAGCAGTGACTTCAGACCCGAATACACTCTAACTCTTATACTTATATCTTGGGAATGCCATGATGGCTTTTGGGGAGCCCAGAAATGGCCTTTTTCCTGCAGTTTCTCCCAGAAGAAAGAATAAATTACCTAAGGCCACATAGCTAGTAGGGGAGAGTTATGATTATAACCTACTTTCTCTGATTATAAATCTAGTACTTTCTTCTCTGCTATCTGATTGAACCCCAAATCTTAACTCCAAACCAGACAACTGTACTCACAGCTTCCAGATTACTTAGACATTGTTGTCCCTAAAGCAATAGCATGGAGAAGACAGTGACCAGCGACCCCAGTCATACCAAATTCAGAGATTTATTTTGACCAGGAGTCATATTTCACAGAAATGACATGGAGGCTGTGACGCCTTGCTCTTCTCCATTGTTATAAGCTATTGAACCCACTCCCAAAGATGAGAGTTCAGCAGCCAGTGAGAGTTTCAAGGTGGGAAGCTACCCTCTATATATTAGAAACAAAACGTTATAGAACCTGGAATTCCCAAAAAATACCCCCAACAGAATATATATCCTAAGAAGCATTCATATGAAAAAGACCTGAGGGTTGTAGTGGATAATAAGGTGAATCAGTATAGCCACCCACAATAACCAAACCAAAGTAAAACAAATCTAGCTTAACATCATGCTGCATGGCCATAAGTAAAAGGTATAGATGGAGGGCCTTGCGGTATGATAGTTTTTCTGATTTCTGCCTAATTCACACCACACATGGATATTGTGGCTAGTTCTAAATGCCACATTTTAGGACAAGCATTAGTAAGCTGCAATGATTCTAGAGGAGAAGTGAATAGAGCAGGAATGTCAGTTGAAGGAATGAGGGATATTTACTCCAGAGGAGAAAAAACTCAAGCAAGACATACTGTTTTCAAATAATTAAAAAAGGGGTGTCATGTGGAAGAGGGAATAGACCCCTTCCCTGTGGCTTCAGAGGGCAGAACTATGGCTAGAGGTTAGAATTCAGATACAGGTTATAAGGAGGCAGACTTCAAATGGAACTTCCTGCCCTCCCCCAAAGAGAGCTAATGGGGCAGAGGGGAGGGGCTCAGCAGACAAGGAGTTCTTTCTCTATTAAAGGCCTTCCACATGAGGTTGTAGAGAGAATTCCTGTTTGAGATGGAAGTTAGGCTAAAAGATCTCTGAGGTATGTCCTCCATTTCTGCAAATTTTGACTTGGGGAGAAGAGGAGAGACTTCCAAATAGACTTGTTACAGTGCTGTAGGGAAGGTAGGATCAGTGGGACCCCAGTGTTGACTGGGGATAGCTAGGCCTAGAGCTAGGCGTTACTGGTTGTGTGACCCTAGGCAAGTCATTTGCTGGATTACTTTATACCAATGAAAGCAGAAATCTGCGTGTGCACACACACACACACACACACACACACAAACACACACACTAATACACCCAAACACAGACAAATGCTATATGACTTTTATTTTTTTTTGTGAGACATTTAGTTAGTTGTTCAGCTTAATGCTGTTTATTTCACATTGAAAGCTCTTACAGGAAAGAACCTGGAAGTCCAATGACAGGACACTGTGAAGTAGAGGGGTAATGGTGATGGCAGTGAAGATCTTCACAGCTTCTCATTCTCTTCTTGGTTGGGCTTAAGATGGAGCTCCATTCCTGAGTCCCCCTCAATCTTGGCCATCTGTTGAAACATGCTATTTACCAAGTGATTCATTTATTTCTATTCTTCTTCTATTCTTTCTCTCCCTGTCCCCTTTCTGACAAGTTGACAATGACTCTTCACAGCTGTACTAGCCAGTCATAGGTTCTTAACTTCAGCTACAACACCCCACCCACCACCAACTTCCTCCACACTCCTTTTTTCCCAGTGTTCTTCCATCTCATTTATCATTTCTCTTTTCCTATTTCATCGCATCAGATTTCTATGGTCACCTGTGAGATTGATTGTTTTCAGCAAGTTGTGGTTCACTCATTTTAATTGTGTTCAACTCTTTGTGATCCCACTTGGGGTGTTCATGGCAAACAAATCCAGCTCATTTTTCACAGATGAGATAACTGAGGTAAACAGGGTTAAGTGACTTGCCCAGGATCACAGAGTTGCTAAGTGTCTGAGGACACATTTGAACTCAGGAAGTCCTGACTCCAGGCCCAGCACTCTACCCCTGTGCCACCTGGCAGCCCTAAGTAAGTGTGTGGGACTTGATTCTGTTTCAAGTCTTCCTCTCTCCAGGCCCAGAACTCTCTTGAGTTGACCACTTCTAGGCAAAGAGATAGGAATAACTGTGTTTTGGGGAGTTGGTCACTGAAGAAACTTGGCTGCCCAGAGGAGAGTATGTGGATTCCCACCAGAAGCTGAATAAGAAGTGCTCAGGAGTGTGGTTGAGCAGTTCCTGTTGACAATCTGAGATTTGATGAATGGACAGAGATAGGGAGGGTTGAGTCTTATTATGGACATCTTGTTTTCTGTTTCCTACATCATCCTGCCTCAGTCCCTCCATCTTTCCCTATATCTTTCACAATGCCCAGTAGAGAGGGACCTCACTTCAGTGGCTGGGGCTTTAATTTTAATTCCAATGGAACTAAAGATGTTTCTGAATTCATATTTTCAAGTACCATTGTCCCCTGGTTAGTGGAAATGAAAGGCAGAGGAAATATTCTGGAGGCATTTCAGGCTTTAAAATGTCTTCAGACACTCTAATGGTAGTGTTTCCAAGTTTCCCTAGTCCCTAAATTGACCCAGGTGACTATGACAACAAGAGATAGACAGATTACCTAGTTTATCCTAATTAGCCTTCTTATAATCCCGGTATTTCTTGAGATTCTCAATACATGTCTTTTCCAGATATTCCTTGGCCTGAATCACAGAACCTTCTGCCTCCCATTTCTTTTTGATTATGTCACCTGCCGGATCCTTTGTGATAAAGGCTGGTATTTCTTTGTCAAACTCAACGAGTGGTCGGTCATCATAGTCATAACGCCAGAATCCATTTGTGACACCATTCTTGCAAACTTCACAGCCATAATCTCCACTAAAGACATGGAGACCTGAAAACACCCAAGCCCCAAGTATGGTGAGCTGCCTACAGTGTAGAAAAATATGTTTCCAAATACTGATAATCCTGAGATATATCCAGACATCCTAATAAATGAAAAGGTGTTTCCTTAAAACAAACACCCAGTTCTTTTCCTTTAGGCAGCTAAGGCATGAACAACAGATAGGAAGCAAGTTTACAAAGAGAGCAGTTCTTTTTAGGCTAATTCCTTGCATCCATGCTCCTAGGAGTAGAGAAAAAAGAACAGGTGAGCAAAATAATTGTTGGAATTAGATCTGGAAATGACCTATCCCATCCTGCTCATATGCAAATGGGGAAACTGAGGCCCAGAGGAGGGCAGTGATTTTCCTGAGCTTTTTAGGACAGCAAATAACGGAGCCAAATTCTACACTAGGTTCTCAGACTCAAATCCAGAACTTTTTCTGTTACAACAAGTTGTTACAACCTGTGACTAACCATCATGAGAGCTAACCTGGCCTGGTATGTGGTTGCCTGCTGTAGACAACGGGGAATAACAGTCATTGTGGTTAAGTGGAATGAGCATTGGACTGGGTGATTGGACATCATGAGGCCAGCCTGGCTTTGCCACTGACTGATCTGCAGGAGATCAGTGGATCAATGACTGAGAGATAGATGACTGCCAGAAGCCATCTAGGCTCCTGACTAATTGTTCTTCTGAATGTACCAGGATCATGATCACTTCCCTCTCTGTAAAAAGGGTGCATTAGATGATTTCTCAGGTACTTTTTAGTTTTAACATTCAGTCCTAGAATCAGGAGCATGTCAGGCAACAGTGTGGTGCCTCCTATAAGAGGCCCAAAGCCCAGTGGGGTAAGGAGAGAGAACTTAGCTAAGCTGATGCCTCAGAAGCAGGAATTGATCTGTCCCCACTTCATGTTTCACTGAGATCATTGTGTTGGGTAGAATAGCAGGAAAGGAGAAGCAGAAGGAAGAGAGGTAGAGGACAGAGTTATGTTTTGGGGATGGTTCTATCTCTGCCTCCTCTGGATGCGTTCTCTCCACCTAAGGCCTATGGCCAGTCATTGCTCCTCCTTTCTCCCCTTTTCTCCTTTCTCTGTCCTCCCTTTTATATCCCCTTCTTCCCTCTGACGATTAGGGACAGTCTCTGTTAGGCAGAAGGCGACAGGGGCTCCCTGAACCCTTTCCTAGGCATTGGCCCCTTGTCCCTGCCCTATATACTTATACACTCACCAGTGACATCTTTATGGTAGCCATGATTCTTCAGGTCTCCATTGCAAAACCTTGTCTTCTTTTTGAACTTACCTCTTGCTTCCAGTCATCAGCATTTTCCCATCCTGGTTCAGGCACTGCCTCCTGCTATTGCTATCATATTGTAGATGAGTTTTCATTGAAGTAGGCTTTGTTTGTGAAAAAGGGTGTGCCTTTTGATTGTGCTTTGTCCTTGTATACCAGAGAATCACACTCTGAGAAAAGCCAGAGAGAACTGAGTGAGACATTTTAATGCTAATCTCCCAAATAGAGTCTACTTATTGGGGGTGACAGAGAAGGAGGTTAGAAATGAGGTGAACATGTGAACTTTGTTACAGGCCCAATAACTACCCATTGAATACTTTCTCCTGGTTCTCCCCTCTTCTATCTGTCTCTCAGCCAGCAGCTTTGACACCCAAGTGATCCCAGTGCCAAGGTATTCTTCCCATGTTACATTTGGAGTATGCCACGAATCTCTGTCTAAATACTAATAATGAATGAATGAACTAGTGACTGAAAATGCTTTTGGTAAATGCTTAATATTTACCAAGTACTATTCTAAGTTCTGAGGATAGAAACAGGGAAAGAAGTTAGTCTCAGATCTTAGGGATCTACCCTAAGTGGGAACAATACACAATAAATGGGATTGTTCAAAGAGGATGTGCAAGATGACAGGAAAACTCAAACCTTTGCATATGCAGCCCAGGGATGTTTAACCTGGAGAAAGAACAAATGGATGTGTGCTTTTTTGAGGACACATGATACTGTCTCAAGAAGTGAAGGGCCATCAGATAGAAGACACTTCTGTGTCACTCTGGAGGACTTAGTTTTTGAAGGACGATCAGTAGGTTGAAGACAGCTTTCAACTGTGTAAAGAAGAATGTGCTACATCTTTGACTTATCATAAAATGCCCTCCGAAGTAGTGAGCTCCTAAGGTGTTGAAGCAGAGATTGGATTCCATTGTATGGCATGTGGTAGAAGGTATTTCTGTGTTGATTGGCAGGTAGATTCTCTCTGAAGCCCCTCATTCTTCTCATGAAGAATCTGGTACTCCATGAAACTCATATACCTAGGGTCCCTGGCCCAGCTCCCAGCCCCATAGTCCCATTATGTTTCTTCCCTGTTGTTGGTCTAAGGGGCTGGGCCGCTTCTGCTCCTACTGGAGGAGCAGTCTGGTCTCCATCTTGAAGGAAGGAGGCTTGAAGAAAGAAAAGAAAAGCAGGGGGCACTATGAGAAAGGAGCCAGTTAACCTTTCAAGGCTTCAGTTTTCTCCCCTGTAAAACTGTAAATGGTAACATTGGAATAACTTACTGCCCAGGTTTTGAGGAGTATGCTGTGACACAAATAGTCCTGGGTTTAGAAAAACTGAGTTTAAATCCAGACTTTGCTAATTCAGTACCTGTGTAACCTTGGGCAAATCATCTTAATCTCCAAACCACAACTTCCCCTCTGTGAAGCAAGTTTGATTTGCCTACTTTAGGCTGCTGTAAGCAAGCTTCTTGCCAACTCTAAAAAATTATACAGTATAAATATAAAGTATTATTGATGTACAAAGATAAGAACATAGAAATGGCTTCTGGATCTGATGTTCTTACTGTATTAGGTCTCTCACAGGGTTGCCAAAGGACAAGGAGCATGGGCTTTTCCCTCCCCTCCATGATTTCCACCTCAGATGGTTCATCATTTCCTTCCTAGGTTTCAAGTTCTCTATCATGCACATTCCTAAGCTTCAGGGTAGGGCTTGATAGAGATGGAAATAGACTCTAGACCTCCCTCTCCCAAACCTACCCTCCTCCATCATGTCATCATGAATGCTGGAACTTCTAGGTGACTCCTGGCATAAAATCATAGAGTCTGCATTCCTTTCCTCTTTCCCAACTCTACTCCTTCCCACTAATATAACTTATGGCCACAACCACATCACACAGACAGTGCCTTCTACATAGCCACCGAGTAGATTCAGTGTCCTCTGAAGGGCGCCATGTTCACCATGTCACTCTTGTTCTGCCTAAAAACAAGTTTTCCTGTTGTAGCATCAATACTTTTCTAGATCTGTGTTTCATCTCCATTTCCTTCCTTAATTTAAGGTTGATAGAGAATCTAGAGACAGGAAGGCAATTCCTCAGGAAAAATGAAGCTTGTCCCTATTGACTCTGTGTGCGTGAGTGTGTGTGTGTGTGTGTGTGTGTGTGTGTGTTGTGTGTGTGTGGAGTATTTGCCCTTTCCTACTGGGTGATGGAGGAGCAGTACCTCTGAGCCTAATAGATACTGATCTATAATTAGTGTTTGGGAATACATGATAACTGGGGAATCTTACCACTTCTTTTCTCCTTTCATTCCATCTCTCCTTGCTCTATAGGTTTCCCTTCTCTTTGTCTACTTCCCAAATTGTTCCTCCCAGTGCAATGAGTTTATCACACAAAAACAGTTCAGGGACTGGCGTCCAAGGCACATGTTGAAGGGAGAGTCCCATTCTGCCTCTGAGATCCTCTTCTTATAGGTTCATATATTTAGAGCTAGAAAGTATTTTAGAGACCATGTATTCCAACCTCCCTACTCTGCCTCCATTTTCCCAAATTGGCCCATAGAGGTTAAATCACTTACTCAAGGTTACACAGCTAATAAGTGAGAACAAAATTCTTTGACTTCTAAATCTAATCATGTCCTTTCTACTCTCTGATTTCACCCCCAAACCAGATATCTCTTTCCCATTTGCTCTACTCACGTTTTCCTTGTTTCTGTCCAAGAACTGTGGTCCCTGAAAACAACACAGGAAGAAGACAGTCATCAGGGGCCCCATCATTCCAAATCCAGAGATGTATTTCAGTTCAGAAATCTGGTCTGAATCAGCTGAGATGTGATGGATGTTGTGATAGCTCTCTTTTCTGCTGTGTTATATACTGTTGAACCCTTCTCAGGAGATGACGCTACAGTGGCCAAGGAGAGTTTCAAGGTGGAATCCACCCCCTGAATACCAGAAACAAAACAAACAGAACCTGAAATTCCAGAAATAGCACCAAGAAGTGTCCCAAGAGTAGTCCTTATGAAAAAGACCTAGGGGTTTTAGTGGAAAGGAAGCTCAGGGTGAGCCAATGAAGCTGGTTGCATTAACCAACCTGATGTAACATTGTGCTTCATGAACATCAATATGGGATCTAGAAGAAGGAGCTTAGGGTGTGATCATTCTTGTGCATTCTTTCCTATTCTAGCCACACGTGGAATACTTTGTTGAGTTCTAAAGACACATTTTAGGAGGGCAATGGCAAGCTGGAATGCTTCTAGAGGAGGAGCACCAGGAAGGTGAGCAGATTAGAAACCAGAAAGATCAATTGAAGGAACAGGAAATATTTTCTCTGAAGATTATATTGATGTAGGATACACTGTCTTCAAATACCTACAGTGTTTTCACACAGAATAGAGAATAGGCTTGTTCTCTGTGGCTACAGAGGGCAGAAATAGGACTGGATAACTCAGACATGATAGGGAGCACATGTCAAATTGAACTTCCTACCCAAGAGTGCTCTGCAGAAATTGAATGAACTGCTTCAATGACAATGGGTTCTCTCTCTAGTAAAGACCTTCCAAGAAGAAGAGACTGTAACGTGAATTCATACTTCAGATCTGAGATAGACTAGAAGACCTCTGAGTTTCCTCCATCTCTGACTCTGGTGGCAGAGCATCTAAATACACTTGCTGTAGTGTTTTGGGGAAGGTGCATAGGTGAAGCCACAGCTAGGGCCAGGTAGTGGTTGGAAAATGACTAGTTTTTCGGTTTTGTGTGTGTGTGTGTGTGTGTTTTGGCTAGGCAATGGGGTTAAGTGACTTGCCCAGGGTCACGCAGCTACAAAGTGTCAAATGTCTGAGGCAGTATTTGAACTCAAGTTCTCCTGACTCCAGGACCAGTGCTTTATCCACTGTGCCACCTAGCTGCCCCCAAAATGACTAGTCTTCAGAGTTAGGCCCAGGTACAAACCGAGAGTTTATCAGTGGTCTGTGTGTCTCCACCTAAGATGACAAGAAAGTAGGTGTTAAGTTGTCTTGGGGTAGGGATAAGTTCATAATAGCAATTTGTATTTTGAGTGTTTTTGGTGAGTGTAGGTGCAGGGAATGGGGAGTAGCAGTGGCCAGAACCCTTTAATTCCTCTTGGTCATCGACATGCTGACTTCCCCAAGGGAGCTAAATTAATCGGCTCTTTCTTGTTCGGGAGATCTTGAAATCAATTCTTTGTGGCCTTTGTGGGTGGATAAAAATTCATATTTGATTATAATTGACTAAACTTTAACTCCCCAATGAAAACTCCTATTCATTCAAGTCCCTGAAACTTTTCCTTTTGATGGACTGACTAACCAAAAGTACCCCAAATAGAAATAGGCTAAACCACATGGCTCCATATTTGGGCAACTGGGGAGGTGATCGCTGTTGCCTTGCTTGGATGCCCACAAGGCATTAAAATTCAAATTCAGCTGGTCCAGTCATAAATGGCTAACTCAATCCCCTAATGTGACCACTTTCATGGTATTGATAATGATGCAAGAAACTTTCATTCTTATTCCCTCCTTGAGTCAGATCCAATGAGAGTAAGGTTCAAACAATGCTCATCTCCCTCCCTTCTTTCCCTCTAGTGTAATATGTTTTTATGCCTCTTCATGTGATATACTTTACCCTTTTCTGCCTCCTCCTTTCCTTTTCTCCCATTACAATCCCTTTTCACCCCTTAGTTTTTTTATTAACACATCTGAGTCAACTTATACCCACACCCTCTGTCTATGTACGTCCCTTCTAGATGTCAGAATAAAGATACAGTTCTCAAGAGCTGAAACCATCATCTTAACTAAGGGGTGTGAAGAGGAAACCAGTGACTTCAGGAAGTAGGAATGTTATTTTAAGTTTAATAGGTTTCCTTGTTCTAACAGCCTAGCCTTGCCATAGGTTGTAAATGATTAAGAAGAGTTAAATCAGCTAGATGGTGCAGTGGAAAGAGCATTGGGCTGGGAGCTAGGAAGACTCATCTTCCTGAGTTCAAATCTGGCCTCAGATACTTACTAGCTGTGTGACCCTGGGAAAGTCACTTAATGCCTGTTTGCCTCAGTTTCCTCATCTGTAACATGAGCTGGAGAAGGAAATGGAAGTATCATTGCCAAGAAAACCCCAGATGGGGTTTTCTGAGTCACGACTGAAATGACTGAACGGCAACAAAGGGGAGAATTAATAGTAAAAGCTAATACTTAGCATTTATATAGTGCTCTAAGGTTTGCAGAGTGCTTTCCATATCTTAGGTCATTTAATCCTCCTAATAACCTTGTGAGGTAGGAGATATTATTATCCCCATTTTAGTCAGATGAGGAAAAGGAGACTGGGAGAGGTTACATTGCATATCCAGATTCACATAGCTAGTCTGGGGCAGGATTTGAACTAAAGTTTTCCTTGTTTCAAGCCCTATCCTTTAGACATTGCTCCACTTCACTGCCCCCACATGAAAGCTGATGCTGAAGAATTGGGGAAAGTGTCAGTGGGAGACATATTGAGGAATTGGGAAGCCTTCCCATAAACCTCCAATAAGAGAGAGAATTCCAGGAGGGCTGGAGGCAGGTGTTTTAGAGGGTGGACCCTCTACTTGCCTTTTCCTCTACCTCAGCCCCATCCATCTGCTCTTGAGTTGGGACAGAGTAGCAGTTAAGTATTCCCACTCACAGTCAATGCCATACCATACACTTTCTGCAATACTTGGGTATGTCTGCTCAAAGTTCCCATCATCCTATCTTCCCCTCCCATGTAGCTTCCTTCCTTGGTTCCCAAGTACCTAAATTACCTCTTCCCTGTGTCTTCTCATCCCTACTGCTCCTGAATTCGTACCCTTTCCAGGAAACTTTCCCACTATGAGCAGGAAGAATGAACTTCCCAGCCCTACTATGTCTCAACTTGGAATTCCCTAGATGGCCCTCAGATATCTGATGCTCATCTCCACTGATACCTAAATCTTTGCCCTATTCTTTGCTTAGCACCAACATATTTATATTTATTTTTAGTTATGTTTTCCTTGAGTATCAGTGTGGTCCAGTGAAAAGAAATTTAATATTAGAGTCAGAAAGATGGGGTAACACCCTTCTGCAACATGCCTTAGGCAAGTCATTTAACACTCAATACCCAGACATGTCTAGGATACTAGAAGTTGCAAGACCAGTCATATTGTTACCAAGAATTTCCTTGCTGGAACTATACTAAACCAATGAAATCAGTGCTCTGCACCCCCCTCCCCAGTGCTCTATGACCTTTATTTTATATTGACATTTATTGTTTGGCTTAATATCATTTGTCTCTATTGTAAACTCTGAAAAGGTAGGATCTAGGATTATGTAATCCCCTTTGCTAGACACTGAATGATAGTTAACAGTATGGTAGTTGTGGTGATAGTGACAAAGACCTTCATAGCTTCTCATTCTCATCCTTACTGGGGGTACCATAGAGTTACATCTCTAAGTCTCCCTCATTCTCTATCATCTACTGAAACACGGAACTCTCCTGGATACTCAGCCAAGTGATTCATCTGTTCAACGATTCTTCTGTTTTCTTCTTCTTGTTTCCTTGTCACCTGAGAAGTTTCCAGTGACTCTTCACTGTTTTCCATAGCAGTTCCCACCTTCTCAGTTTCAAATACAGTATCCCATGAATTTACCACCAACTTCCTCCTTCCTCCTTCTTTCCTGGTATTATTCCATCTCTCAATTCTCCTTTCTTATTTCATCCCAAGTCAAAATCTATCTAGTGCCCTATTAAATTGAGTATTTCCAAAGAAATGATTCCCCAACCTTCCCTCCTTCTGTGCACCAAGACACCTCCCCCCGCCCCACTTCTAAATGTTACTATCAATTCATGAGCAGTATTTATTGAGCCCCAACTGAAACAAACATTCTTCTGCATGTTATGGGGAGTGCAGAGGAAGTTAAAGATCTAATCCCTATCCTCATACTTGGGAAACATTTAGAAGAATGTATTTCTAAATGAGGTGGGCCTGACCACAAAAGTGAAAGGAAACTTCAGAAAAGAGAGTTAAGGTGAGATCTGAAACAGGTTGTGAAAGATGAGAAAGCTTTAGACAAGTAGAAGGATAAGGTGAGGAGGACCCTGCAAGTGTGAAAAAAAACCACTAATCAAAGAGGTGAGGAAACAAATAGGGTCTACTATGTGCCAAGCACTTTATAAGTATTGTGAAATTTTATCTTCACACCAACTCTAGGAGTTATTGTTATATTATTATGCCCACTTTGGAGTTGAGCAAAATGAAGCCAATAGATGATAAGTGAGCTCTTCTACTACAACAGCTAGTTAATGTGTGAAACCAGATTGGACAAGGGTCTTCCTGACCCCACAGCCACTGCTTCCTCCAATGTGTCACCTACTTGCTTTTAGGAACAGAAATAGGAATGACTGTTTCAGCGTATAGGACAATGAGGAAATTGATTGTCTGCACAGGAGTAAGTGTGTTCCAATAAGCTAGAGATGTGCTGTGGTCAGGAATGGGGTAGAGGGGCTTCTGTTGAAAAGCTGAGATTTAATGAAGAGAGATATGTAGTTAGATGGGGAGAGTTGAGTCTTTTTATGGAAGTTTTGTTCTCTATTCACTACCTCATGCTGTCTCGCTGGGCTAGCATCTGTCCCAGTATCTCTCACGTTGCCTAATTTAGAAGGACCCCACCTCAAGGGCTGGAAATATTTGACATCTCTTCAAATAGAGCTAAGGACGGCTCATAAGCAATCTGAATTCACATCTTTGAGCAGTGGGAAGAAGAGGAAATAACCTGAGGCCAATGGAGACTTCAAAATATCAGCCTTCTTTGGGCCCTCTACTGGACATGTTTCCATGTGTCCCTGTCTCCAAAGGTAGAATGAGTCACTCTATCCAGCCATGGAGAGCAAGAAGAC